GTGGGCTGAGATCACACCATTGCACTCCAGCCTGGGAGACAAAGTGAAACTCAGGCTCAAAATAAAAATAAAAATTGAAATAATATCCAACAGCTTCTCTGATCACAATGGAATAAAATTAGAAATTAATAACAAGAGAAATTTGGGAAACTACACAAATACATTGAAATTAAACAGTATGCTCCTACATGACTAGGAGATTAATGAAGACACTAAGAAGAAAATTTAAAAATTTATTGAAACAAATGATAAAGGAAACACAATATACTACAACCTATGGGATACAGCTAAAGCAGCCCTAAGATGGAAGTTAATAGCCATAAGTACCTACATGAGAAAAGAAAAAAAAATTCAAATAAACAATCTAACAAAGCATCTTAAAAAAACTAGAAAAGCAAGAGAAAGACAAATTCAAAATTAGTGGAAGAAAAGAAATAATAAAGATCAGAGCAGAAACAAATAAAACAAAAATACAAAAGATAAATGAAACAAAAAGTTGGCATTTTGAAAAGTTAAACCAAACTGACAACCTTTATCTAGACTAAGAAAAAAACAAAGATACAAACAAATAAAATCAGAAGAGAAAAAGGAGTCATTACAATTTATGCTGCAGAAATTCAAAGGATCATTAGAGGCTACTATGACCAATTATACGTCAATAAATTGGAAAGCCTAGAAGAAATGAACAAATTTCTGGGCACATAAAATCTACCAAGATTGAACCAGGAAGAACTCCAAAATCTGAAGCAATCAGTAATATGTAACAAGATCGAAGACCTAACAAAAAGTCTCCTAGAAAAGAAAAGCACAGAACCTGATGGCTTCACTGCTGAATCATGCCAAACATTTACAGAAGAAATAATGCCAATCCTACTCAAACTATTCTGAAAAATAGAGGACAAGAGTATACTTCCAAACTCATTTTTCAAGGCCAGAATTACCCTGATACCAAAACCAGACAAAAACACATGAAAAAAATCAAAAAAACAAAAAACAAACTACAAGTCAGTATCTCTGATGATTGCTGATGCAAAAATCCTCAACAAAATACTAAAACTGAATTCAACAATATATTAGAAAGATCACTCATCATGATCAAGTGGGATTGACTCCTGGGATGCAAGGATCGTCCAACACATGCAACTCAATTAATGTGATACATCATATCAACAACATAAAGGATAAAAACCATTTGATCATTTCAATTGATACTGAAAAAGCATTTGATAAAACTCAACATTCCTTCATGATAAAAACCCTAAAAAATTTTGTATAAAAGAAACATACTTTACCACAATAAAAGCCATATACAACAGACCCACAGCTAGTATCATGTTGAATGGAGAAAAACTGAAAGCTTTTCCTTTAAGATCTAGTACATGACAAGTATGCCTACTGTCACTGCTATATTCAGCATGGTACTGGAAGTCTTAAGTACAGTAATCAGATGAGAGAAAGAAATAAAAGGCATCCAAATTGGGAAGAAGTCAAATTATCCTTGTTTGCAGATAATACGATCTTATATTTGGAAAATCCTAAAGACTCCACCAAAAAACTATTCAGTAAAGTTGCGGGATACAAAACTAACATACACAAGTCAGCAGCATTTCTATATACTAACAGTGAACAATGTGAAAAAGAAATAAAAAATGTAATCCCATTTACAGTAGCCACAAATAAAATTTAATACCTAGGAATTAACGGAAGACCTGATAAATCTCTATAATGAAAACTATAAAACACTGATGAAAAAATTGAAGAAGACACCAAAAACTGGAAAGGTATTTTATGTTCATGAATTAGAAGACTCAATATTGTTAAAATGTCTATACTACCCAAAGGAATCTACAGATTCAATGCAATCCCTATCAAAATAATAATGACATTCTTCACAGAAATAGAAAAAAAATTTCTAAAATTTATGTGGAACCATAAACACCCAGAATAGCTAAAGAGCTAACCTAAGCAAAAAGAACAAAACTGGAAGAAAATCACATTACGTGATTTCAAATTATACACAGAGCTACAGTAACCAAAATAGAATGGTACTGGCAAAAAAACAAACCCATAGACCAATGGAGCAGAACAGAGAACCCAGGAACAAATCCTCACACCTACAGTGAACTCATTTTTGACAAAGGTGCCAAGAACATACACTGAGGGAAAGACAATCTCTTCAATAAATGGTGCTGAGAAAACTGGTTATCTATATGCAGAAGAATGAAACTAGGCCCCTATCTCTTGCCATATACAAAAATCAAATCAAGATGGATTAAAGACTTAAATCTAAGACTTCAAACTATCAAGCTACTACAAGAAAACAGTGGGAAAAATCTCCAGGACATTAATTTGGGCAAAATTTTTTTAAGCAAATCCCACGAGCACAGAAAATCAAAGTAAAAATGGATAAATGTGATCACATCAAGTTTAAAAGCTTCTGCATAGAAAGGAAACAATCAGCAAAGTGAAGAGATAATCCTCAGAATGGGAGAAAATATTGCAAACTCCAGCTGACAAAAGATTAATAATCAGAATATATAAGGAGTTTCCTAAATCTATAGGGAAAAAAATCAAATAATCCAATCAAAAAATGGGCAAAAGATTTGAACAGACATTTCTCAAAAGAAGACATACAAATAGCAAACAGGTATATGAAAAAGTGCTCAACATCATTGATCATCATAGATGTGCAAATCAAAACTACAATGAGTTATCTTACCTCAGCTAAAATGGCTTATATCTAAAATAAAAGAAATAACAAAGCCTGGCAAAAAGGGAACCCTTGTACACTGTTAGTGGGAATGTAAATTAGCACAACTGCTATGGAGAACAGTTCAGGGGTTCCTTAAAAAACTAAATATTGAGCTACCATATGATCTAGCAATCCCACTGATGAATATATATCCAAAAGAAAGAAAATCAGTATATTGAAGAGATATCTGTACTCCTATGTTTGTTGCAGCACTGCTCACATTTGGAAGCAACTTAAGTGTCCATCAACGATGAATGGATAAAGAAAATATGGTACTTATACACATGGAGTAATATTCAGCTGTTAAAAAGAATGAGATCCTGTCATTTGCAATAACATGGATGGAAATGAAGGTCATTATGTTAAGTGAAATAAGCCAGGCACAAAAAAGACAAACATCACATGTTCTTACTTATTTGTGGAATCTAAAAATTAGAACACAATTGAACTAATGAACACAGAAAGTAGAAAGATGGTTACCAGAGGCTGGGTAGGATAGTGGGAGGGTTGGGGGTAGGGATGGCTAATGGATAGCAAAAAATTGAATGCATAGGACCTGCTATTTGATAGCAAAACAGGATGACTATGGTCAATAATAACTTAATGGTATATATTTTAAAATAACTAAAAAAGTGGAATTGGATTGTTTGTAACACAAATAAAAAATGCTTGACAGAATTGATGCCCCATTTTCCATGATGTGATTATTTCACATTGCATGCCTGTATCAAAACATCTCATGTACTGCATAAGTAAATACACCTACTATGTACCCACAAAAGTTAAATATTAAAAAATTAAAAATAAATAAAAAGTGGGAAAAAGACATGAACAGACACTTTTCAAAAGAAGACATTTATGCAGCCAACAAGCATTTGAAAAAATGCTCAACATCACTAACCATTAGAGAAATGCAAATCAAAACCATAATGAGATACTATCTCATACCAGTCAGATAACTATTATTAAGTCAAAAAATAACAGATGCTGGCAAGGTTGTGTAGAAAAGGCAATGCTTATACACTGCCAGTGGGAATGTAAACTAGTTTAACCACTGTGGTAAGCAGTTAGGTGATTTCTCGGAGAACCTAAAACAGAATTACCATTTGACCCAGCAGTCTCATTATTGGGTAGATATCCAAAGAAATATAAATTGTTCTGTCATAAAGATATATATGCATGTGTGTGTTAATCACAGCACTCTTCACAATAGCAATTCAACCTAAATGCCCCTCAGTGGTAGACTGGATAAAGAAAATATAGTACATATATACCACGGAAGACTATGCAGCCAGAAAAAGAATGAAATCATGTTCTTTTCAGCAACATGGATGGAGCTGGAGGCCACTAACCTAAGCAAACTAATGCAGGCATAGAAAATCAAATACCACATGTTATTACTTATAAGTGGAAGCTAAAGAATGAGTACATATGTGCATGAAGAAAGAAATAACAGATACTGAGGCCTACTTGAGGGTGGAGGATTGGAGGAGGTTGAGGATTGAAAACTATTTATCAGGTACTCTGCTTATTACATGAGTCACGAAATAATTTATACACCAAACCCCTACAACACATAATTTACCTATATAGCAAAACTGCATATGTACCCCTGAACCTAAAAAAAAAAAAAAAAAAAAAAAAATAAAAAATACCAAAAAAAAAAAAAAGACTCTGGTATTTACACTAGACAGAAGAGGGAACTATTTTTCCCTTAAAACTATAGTCTTTTCTTTCCTTTTTTCTTTTCTTCTTCTTATTCTGTTGTTTTGTTTTGTTTTGTTTTTGTTTGTTTGTTTGTTGTTGTTGTTGTTTTGAAACGGGGCTCACTCTATCAACTAGGCTAGAGTAGAGTGACACCATCTTGGCTCACCGCAACCTCCATCTCCCAGGTTCAAGTGATTCTCATGCCTCAGCCTCCAGAGTAACTGGGACTACAGGCACACACCACCATGCCTGGCTAGTTTTTGTATCTTCATTTAGCAGAGACAGGGTTCCACCATGTTGGCCAGGCTGCTCACAAATGCCTCAGCCTCCCAAAGTGCTGGGATTACAGGTGTAAGCCACCACGCCCAGTCTAGCCTATTGTCTTTTCTAGTTGTGCTATACATTAGAGATGTAAAGGCATTAGAAAATAATGCTAGTGTTAAATAAGTTTAAAACCATCTCAAAAGCCTTTTTAGGGTTTTTCCAAGAGATCTAGAGCAGATATGTCATTATATATCTCCACTAAACTGAAAATTCTTACTTTCAGGTAGAGATGAAAATCCTGAATTGACCAAATTGCTCATAAACTCTTCTAAATTCACTGTCCCATCCTCTGAAAGAAAATGCAAACCAGAGGACATAGAAAAATAAATAATCACATATAAGAAACAGGCAACTATAATATAATTGCTATATTGAGAAATAATTTATAGATATGGCTTTGAAATTGAGATATATATTCAATCAAAAAGACAGGTGCATACATATCATTCAGACACATGTATGTATACTCATCCTCCATAGATTTTTCTGCTGCATGCTGCTACTGAAAATAACTAGAACACAACTGACAATAACTAGAACCCAGATGAATGCAAAGGTACAAGAAAGCCTTGATAATCTATGAATCAGAAAACCTCTTCAGAATTCTTGAAACACTCAGAATCATGTTATCTAAGATAAAGGATACCTAGAAATATATTAAATACTCACCACTGAGAGCCACATTGTTCAGTGTTCTTTGAATCACATCTTGGGGTAATGGAACTCCTACATTTTCCATTATGAGGCCTAGGTCATCAGGGTTAGCTACATTTTTCTTAATGGAAGCCGGAACTTTCAAGGAGTCTTCTGTTTC